CAAAAAAAAAAAGACAAAGAAAAATGATATTCCTGCCAAAATCTCAGCCTCGGGTTTGTTCTTAAAATATTCTTAAAATTTCGCAAATTTGAGCCTCGATATTCTTGGAAAACATATTCTTATAAAAGAGGAGAGAGTCGTTAACCTGATAAACAACACACGCAACCGATAATAATTTTATTGCCAAAATCTGTTCCACTTGAATTACGTGGTTTATCAGTTCTACTGAAATCGCTTCAATTTCTAAGCTCAATTTAAATCCCAGACAGTTATTTTTTCTTTAGTTTGGGATTAATTTGACAGCAAAACCATAAACACTTCTGCAATCGACTATTTTAGCGACGGTAGCGACTATTTCGGTCGCAAAAAGCTGTTATTCGAGATATTTTCAATCCAAAGCAAAACTAAAGCGATATGTTAATTAATACAATGTTTCTTACGTCAAATTTGTTTGGTTGCTGGTATCTTATCATATTTTGATTCTTGGAGCCCCGAAAAACGTTGTCCCGGGTAGGCGACTTGTCCCCCGTTTACAAGGCAGGTAAGGTAACCCTGGCACAAGGGTAACCCTACCTGCCTTGTAAACAAGTCCATGACATAAAAGAGTGCCAGGGTAAACCTCTTGGTAGGGTAACTCTATAATGAGGGACGAAAGTAGTTGAGACACTTTTAGAAAATGGTACTTTCCGATTTTTAAGTACTTACTCCATTTTATTTGCATCTAGCGTTAATTCTCTGATATAGTAGTGACATGGAAGATATGTTTTTTGTTGTATAATTCTTAGTAAATGCAAACAATGCGGCATTTAGTCTAACAAGCATTTCGGGTTTCGGTTTCTATGATCGGCAAACTGGTTTGCCGCTGATTGACTGAAAAAGATTCAACGCAATGAAGCTTCCTGGATGTAACCAATTGCAGCCATATACCTCTGACAAGCTCTGAAGGTCGAATAGTAATAGTAATCTTGCATACGGCCAGCGCGCCTGAAAATTTGGATTGACCAATCAGAATTCAGCAGGTGGGAAAAACTTTACTGTCCTGACGTCAATGTAAGTTAACAGGAAAGCTAAAGTCAGGCAACTTTTCTCGCTGAAGATGGTATTGAATATTCACGAAAAGGGATTTACAAATCCAAACACCCCATCAGATTGTAAAAAGTGAAAGATAGAAAACATTTTGTGTCTCCAAGCTTCTTATTTGGCGCCAAAAATGGGTCGCCGGCGTCCGGCATGGAAACTCGCTCGTAGTTCGTCGAGTGTCGCCAGGTAAGATCACCATAGTTGTGTTATTTTGAACAAAATATGCCGTTCTTTGTCAAATTAAACCCGGAATTCTCCAGCTAACTATTAGAAGAGGCCAAAGAAACTTTAGCATTGTCTTTATTTTTGTTAGCTGCGAAGAACAAGGCTATTATTGTGTCGTTTCGGTAGGACAGCTCAGTTTGACTGCCGCTCACGGTACTGCGGGCGCAGCTGCCGTATGCTTGGTGTTACTTTCTATCATTGCGTATACCTTTCGCGAAGAATTCTTACACGTTCCAACAAAACGAGGAAGCATGCTTCCAGAAACATGCATATTTTCCCAATGTTTCCCAGTTTTGCCATACGGGTAACATTGTTTCCGGCGTCAATTTTTGTTTCCAAGATGCAAATTATGCTTACGCTACACGGCAGAGAACTTTCACGAGAATCCGAGTATGCGAGCAATTGCAAAAATGTTTCGAGCACGAGCAAGCGAGCACTCATCTACTTTTTACGAGCAATTCCAGCAAAGGCCAAATTTTGCGAACACTCTTAAATTGAATGGGACCATTCGATACCCCTTACATACTTCTAACTTACAGTTGAACAGGAACGAGGTTGTAGTCAGTTCTCTTGAACGGGAGAAAAAAAATATATATAACCTGAAATCTAGACGCCTGAAATCCAGCGGCGAAATAAGAAAGAAAGCTAGCGGCATTGCTTTGCATTTATAATAAAACGATACTTCTTCCATGTCATGAAAGCTTAGTCCTTAGCCTTTGCTGCAAGTAGTATTGGTTTACTTCATGAGCAAATTTAGACAATGACTCGGCGGAAGTTTACTAATCATAAAGTCCTCACCATCAACAAGGCCTTTCCACAAATATCGCGTAAAGTCGCCTGAATATCGTTCCGAAAATTCTCAAAAAATATCCCTAAATATCACAACAAACGTTCCAAATATCTCAAAAACCCTCTAAATATCTCTTATTTTTGTCGTATAAATACGCCAATTTTGAATCACTTAGGCAGAAATTTTCAAAATTTTCTTGCAGTATAGTAGTGAGTGTTGAGAAAGAAGCTTTAGGCGCTTCGATGTTACCAGTATCTGTCATTTTCGAAAATTACTCTCTCAGCGCTTTTAGCGATATGGAATACATTGTTCGAGCAGACAATAATTGCTGAACTCGAGTGTCGTAAAACTGAGTATTCAAGGGGAAAGCAAGGAAAACACAGGACTCGGCCAAAAAAAAAAAAATAAAATAAAATAAAATTTCTAAACATCCCTTAAATCTCTAAATATCTTAATATTTTCTAAATATCTCGAAGATTTCTAAATATCCCAAAAAATATCCGGATCTTTGTGGAAAGGCCTTCTGTCAACCGTTCACCCGAGACAGATGCAGCTGCGGGAGCTAAACGAACTAAAGATGTTTTTTGAATATTTTTCATTCATTGTAAAACTTTAAATAAATACTTTTCCGCTTTTGATAGCTTATTGCTTCTCGAAATATTACACTTCAAGATATTATCAGTTTCAAATTAATGCAAGACAATAAATTAATGCATAGCAAATCTTCTTGATGTTTTGTTCAATGTCTGTCGACAGTTTCGCAGGAACTAAAATTCAAAAGAATGTTAAAAATACAAACATTTAAAGAGCTAGTAAAACTTAGTAACTGGTGAAATTTGTGGCTCTTTGGGCCAAATATTCGAGGAGAAATTRGCTTTCRAAACTGCAAAATTTCTGGGTGGCAAAAGCGCTGATGAGCTCATACATTCTTTGTAAAATTTTGAGTTTTTAAACCCGCATTGCACAAAAATATTCAATACATCGGGTTCAAATTCCTTGGGACAGTTAACAATGCTGTGCCCTTGCAATATTCAGAACTAACATTTTGTAGCTCCATCAGAAACTGTATCGCTGTGCTAATGAAGTAACCATTGTAAACAAAGATTCTCTTATTCTGTGATAGATGGTGAGTAGCATAGCAGTGTGCCCTTGTTAACAAAATGACGGCCACTTCTTGGCGTTTTCGAAGTGTTTATGAGGAGGAATTAGATGAAGGCTTGGACGATCAGTAGATTTATACTAAAACTTATAGATTATTCGCTCTCAATTTCTATGCGTGATAGCTATAACGCGATAGAAATCTCGAGCTCTTAATCTAATTGTTTAATAGAAACACGAGTGGAAGTTTGGGATAACGAGAAATGCTGTGGGAACACGAGCCGACAGGCAAATTGTCTTTCGACAGCTTTCTCGAGTTCTCCCAAACTTCCACGAGGGTTTCTATTAAACAATTAGATTATGACCTCGAGATTTTAACATCGTGATAACAGTCAAAAGGGCCAATAATAGATATTCGTTACACGTATGATCATGAGCAGAACAGAAAAGGAATGACTCTACTGAGCTAGGCAGATAAATCTTCGGTGTTCCGCTTGTGTTCAAAAGTCCGAAGGAGCAATTCCCTACCTTCAATTATAGGGATATTTCTTACCAAAAGTGTCACGCTTACTTCTTTGTCGTAGACTGAAGCAACAAAGCAACGGAACAGGCTGCCAGGCTAGCTTCGTTCAGGCCCTCTAACGGGACAAGAAGTATCACTGGAGGTAGTATAATTGGGAAGATGGCAAACTTAACCGAAAATAGAAACTATACCACAGCTCAAACGTTACATTGTGTGCCGAGACATTATGGACTATATGAAAAAACATTTATTTTAGCGGCAAATATTCCATTATCAGTCATTGCATTTCTGGGGAATATTCTGATCATTGCTGCTCTTCAAAAGGTGTCCATGCCATCTCTTCATTCAGCATCAAGAATTATGTTTCGTTCCCTAGCGATCACCGATCTCTGCGTGGGACTAATAACACAACCTCTGTTTGTCAGTTATTTAATTTCTATAGAGCACTCCGAACGTTGTCACTATCTTAGAATCCTTTTATTTACGATAGGTGCACTATTTTCTGCTGTGTCGTGCTTAACATTGGCAGCAATTAGTGCAGATAGACTGCTCGCTCTGTCGTTAGGGTTGAGATACAGGCATGTGGTGACTTTGAGGCGAGTACGGGTAATTGTTATTATTTGTTGGTTTTATTGTGGCTCTGCTGCAGTTATATTTATTTATAATGAACATGCCCAGGAGGCCCTTGCCTCTTTAATGGTATTACTCTGTGTTCTAACCTCAACCTTCTGTTACACGAAAATCTATCTTAAGCTTCGACATCACCAAGCTCAAGTACAAAGCCATGTTTCCCAAGGACAAACGAACGGCGGATGCATACCACTGAACATAGCGCGATACAAAAAGACATTGTCCAGTGCATTGTGGGTGCAATTGACATTAGTTGTTTGTTATCTGCCATTTGGTATAGCCGTTGCTATATTTGCCATCACTGGATTGTCTACGCCATCTTTTGACTTCGCTTGGGATGTATCGTTTTCTTTTCTTATGTTAAACTCAACTTTGAACCCATTCCTGTATTGCTGGAAGATGAAGGGAGTAAGAAAAGCAGTGAAGGACACGGTAAAAAAGATCTACTGCTCGTCAAGTTAACTGAGATCTGGTACTGAATCTAAGGGAGCGGCTGCAGCCGAACCTTTCCTAACTGAGAAGGTAGACAGTTCGCTTGTTTCCACGGAAACGAGAATTCACATTATCCTCACCTCCTGTTACCGTACGCCCCTTTGGTATCTGTATAAATTAAAGAGGGACTGATTATAAAGACTGAGCCTCTGTATAGCAAGCTTTACCTGTCCAATACGTATATTCATGCATGAAAATTGAACTTACAAAGAAGGTTAGCGAGCGAAGAATCCTATTAGCATCTTTATGAATTATCTAGCAGCTAATGTAAATTCTGAGTAAATTTTTTATGTTCTATAATTTAGTGTGTCCACAATTAGTGCCTATCGCACTAGATGTATTTGACATGTAATTAAAGTTATTTATTTATGTTCCAAATCAGAAGTTTCCGTTTAGAGAAATACAATAAAATGTTTAATATGGAAATACGCTTAGCTTTGTTTGCGTTCAATCGTTTCAGCGGCTTCAAGTAAATAAGTCTTACCTGTCTCTTCTGAATATTGGGAGTTTCGTTTTTGTTATGTTAGGAGTTCAAATTTCCCGCGGGTCGCCAGGTTTATTTATTTTTGCAATCTTGATTGGAACTTATGAAGCCACTGCGCTGTTGGACGTTTACAAAATACAGCAGTGTGTAAATTTAAAGAGATAAAAGAGCATCTAATCGTTTCTAAGTCATATTCCAGCGGCTATGTTCAATTGCAACGGAAATCTCCATTTATGATAAATGTTTGGATTTCTTCAGAGGGTGTCGTCTCGTCCCTAGTTATGACGCCTCTGTACGCCCTAGGCACTCTTAACATAGAACATTAATTACTCCCAGCAAAGTATAGTGACGCATATATGAAGTACAGACTGGAACCAATAATGAGCACGAGGACAAATTTGAAAATTACAAAAACTATTTTGTCATTAATATCTGTACTTAAAATTCTTTTATATTTATTTATCTTTCTTGCAATTTCTTCGTGATTGACTCGGAAGAATGGAAAATTTCATAAACATACTTGGCAGTAGTTAATTACAAAGTAGTTACTTCATTGATTTCTTGGCACTAGCTATGTTTCAGCTCCCTTTCCTTTAATTTTTTTTAACATTTTTAAACGTATTAATCTTTCAACCTTCATGGTACATAAATTTCCTACATATATATTAATAAAACGATGTGAAATTGAATTTTGAACTTGTTATATAGGTTACTGACTACTTTTGTACTTCGGACCCGTCGACACTACGCCGGAGAAATTTGAAAACGCAACAATCACCGGTCATTCCTTTCTGGTGCACAGGCCAATTTCAAGCTTAGCAAATTTAAGTTACATTACAGTTGCTAAACAGATAAATGCGTTATTTTGAGACGATGCCTCCTGGAAGTAAAAAAAAAGATCCTTTAAACATTGTTGTTACTTCACAAAAAAAATAAAAGTAGCTTCTCACTAATTGGCCTCGTTTTCAAAAAGAGTCTTAAGAGGCCCTGGGAACTTGTAGTCAAACATTTCCAAGGTGGGCCTGTATAAGTCAGCTAACTTGTTGATCCATTTTAAGGGAAGCTTCGAGTAGTAACCGAGCATAGATGTAGCTGTACTGGAGATATTTTTCTCTTGAGCCTTAAAACGTTTTGCTTGATCAGGAGATAACTTTGCTGCTTTTTTGAAATCTTCAATATCTTGATTAAAGGTTTCATAATGACCAATGAAGTCGTACTTCATTGCACACATGCCACAAGTATGCAAGTAGTTGTCCCAATGCCAGTCCATTATCGGACTGCTCTCATTGCTTCCCTTGGTCACTAAATATTCTATAAATTCCTTGAAAGTGATGTCATCGAGCTTTTCACGCGCATGCTCAGTTGCGTTGGGCCGGAAGTGCTTGAGAATCTCTCGTCCATGAAGTTTCAACATTCGATGGTCAATGCCCCGGATGTACACAAACTTGTCCTTGTATGCGGAGAGAAGTCGCTCGAAGGGCTCCCGAACAAATGTAAACTTGAAATAGTTTTTCAGCATGTGTTCCCGGTGGTCTTGAGGGTAGTCCAGAAGAGTCTCATGGGGTGGTCCATCTGTAAAACGAAGCAGCATTGCTCTCCATTGCCTGGATCCGACTTTTGGCGTAACACAGTAGAGCATATTTAGAGATTCGATCACGTCGATGTGACGTGGGACTGGCATGGTATTGTGCCCAGTCTTTCTACAGAACTCCTCAATCAGCCGTTTGCGTGCGTTCTGTCTAGCTTCCATTGAAGAGTGAAAGGGGTTTAATTCCTTTAATAAAAACAATTGAACAAACAAAAAACAAAACAGAGACCGTGGTTTGCAATGAGGTGATGTCTCAACAACAACAAATAAAAGGGCAACCTTAAGGATTATTTCGTTTCTCCTTAATTGTCTTGGTCTGCATGAGATAGAGCCCAATCGGTGAAACTAACCTAAATTACTGACAAGTTCCGTAGCTGCAAATATTTCAGCACACTTTCTAACGAATAAGTCGAATAACGATAAGAGGGTTTCAATGAGGTTGTGCATCTTATGGTTAACCTGTTGATATTTTGGCTTTTTTTTACGGCTAATGGTTAATTTAGTTTCCTTATGGTTAGCAGAAAGCTTAGGAATAAATTACAATTATTTTCTAAAGTCAAAAATTAACTTTCCTTGTTTAAAACAGGTAAAAATTTTATTTTGATTATCCTAAAACATATTTAAGGTCTAAGAACCATTCTGGGAGGGAAAAAGTTACATATTATTTTAAGAATTGCAGAATAATATTGTCTAATATAGTTTACAAGCCAAAACACAAGACACAAAAAGGTGTCGACGGGAGATCTTGAAACTTAAACTTTCGTTGCTAAATTGTTGACAGTCAATATTTTTTATGGCTTAAGGTTCAAATTTTGCAATTTTTACGACTAATGACTAAATTTTTAGCCCATTTTACGGCTAACAGCTAACCCCGTTGAGACCCTGATAAGTCATCAGCGGGAAGGCTTGACAGAGTGGCTATCGGAGTCTATGGTATCTGAGGCCTCCCAGTGGATCTGATCGGATGTTAGATTTCTATGAACATTTATCATAAGTTCACATTAAAAAAAAAAAAAAAAAAACGAGAAACGAAATCGAGGATCAGTAAATGAGGCTTCTTTCCTGAGCGTGATAACGATGGGGTGACAACAGCCGCTTTAAAATTTTTGCTCGAATGAGTATATCTTTGTATGGTACGATAGTGGGATCTTTAAATATTTCGCTAAGCAATGGTTGATTTTGCATTAAATGAAGTTAAACGAGGCTGACAGGCCGTACATGGCCGGACTCCTACACTTCTTGACATTGGTATATTTGCCGGATTTTTTTTTTCTTAATTTCGGTCTCGCGACCTTTTCTGCTTCACACTTGTTTCCGAAGGGCACTAAATGTTGCGTATTTCTTGGAGGACACGAGAGTAGAGCCGTTAGAGGTCGATCATAGGTCTGTGTGGCTTCCGCTGTTATCCGCGTGTAATTTGTAGAGTTTGACACCTGCTTTTTTCCACGTGCTAGTTTTTTTCGGCTCATTTATATTGCAAGATATATAACACCGGCGTTGCTTAGCGAAATATTCAAAGATCCCCCTATCGTATCATACAAAAGGGGCAGATCCTTAAAGATATTCTAGTTCGAGCAAAACTTTCAAAGCGGCTATTACACGTGGTAGGAGTTGTGTGGGCCTCTCACCCCACTGTACCACAAAAGTAGAATTATACGAAAAAAAATTGCACACCGCAATTTTTTGAAGTACGTACTGTCCTTGAAATTCTAAACCTCACACAATAAAATCTAAGCGATCGGTCCAAACAAATGCAGTTGATTAATGATGAAAAAGCTCAATGTTTCCGATGGTTAAGGATTGCCAAAAATAGGAAATTGCTGAAAATTTGGTTAATTTGTATCACAAGGGGTTTCTTTGTAAACAGTATTTGTGATTTCACTGTCATATTAGAGGTTTTCTGATCTGAGATCTCGTATAACTAAAGATTGAATACGTCCTGACAGAATTCTTTTAAACATAAGTTTCTAAAACTTGACATTTAAAATCTCCGACAATTTTTCGGCTTCATTAGAGACCTTTAGATACACGTTGATCGCAAACGTCTAACGGCGATTTGAGGTTAGACGTTTTCCCGCCGTTCGGACATAAATCGATTTAGATTGGAGTAGACTGGAGCGAATAGAAATCGTCCTGTCAATGCATTAGAAATTGTCAAAATGACGCCAATTTTGAAGAAAGAAAATAGTAAGTTTTCTAGCATGTACAGCTTTCTAAAGAAATAAAGCATCAGAAAAAAACATATTCAACTTAAGCAGCCGCCATAGTGAATTTCCACTTGGGATCAGTAGTGCCTCTCTACAAACCACAACAAAAGGCTGGGTAATTGTTTACATGCCTACAAATTATAACCAATTTGTAGAAAAAGGGTTACTTTATTCGATTTTGGCATTTATACGTGGCATAAAATAAAATTTAAGGCAATAGAGCTTGGGCTAAATGACACGTGAAAAACCTACCTCTTGAAGTTCAAAACGCGAGTCGAAAGGTAAAGGTAAAGTCTGCATGCGAGCCAAGTGACCCATCAGGCCGGAGCTTATCCCAGTTTCTGTAGCATGAAGCGACTAGGAGTATTTCTACTCCCCCCTGGATGGGATGCTAGTCCATCGCAGGGTTACC